TACAGACTTGACCCTGGCCTACGGGTAAATGTGGCCAGGTGGCACGTACAGATCGCCACACGCTGCCGACCAGGGGTGAAGGTGTCAACCCCCGCATCCTGGAGGACAGCAGTGCTCACCAAGTTCGTAGAGAACGAGGGGAGGTGGAGATCTGACAGTGAGCCAGACGGAACCGCCGGGCACGGGAGCACAGTGGTGGACCGTGCAAGAACTGGGCCCCCTGAGGGTTCAGCCAGAGAGACTGCAACAGGTGCAGGGAGTAGTGTGAGTGCAGTACTGTCACGAAAGAAGCAAGCGTGAAGGTGTGCAAGGCCTCAACACGCGCAGTACCTGAGAGAGCAGACTCGCTTGCACCTAAGGCAGCAACCTCACCAGCACCTAGGGTACCAGTCTCTATACCGGGGTCAGGCGGCACACACAAGTAACAGTCACCATCAGCAATAATCTCCAATGCATACATGGCAGAAATAATAGCATCATAGTCAAGAGCAAAGATGTCTACACTAGCCCTAAGCCGCTCATACCAGCGAGGGCGCTCAGCGTCCTCGCCCATATCCTCACGCCAGACGTCGTCAAGGCGGGAGAAGCAGCGGTGCTGGGTGTGGAACTTCTCGCATGTCTGACCCTTGCGGTCACCTGTGCAAATGGCATACGGGCAGCGACCACCACCTTCAGACCTCCCACGCCGAGCAAGCCACTCACGAAGCTGCTGGGTCGTCTGGGGACTCTGCTGCTGCTGCTGTCTTTGGCCAGTGCCCGTGCCTCCACCCTGACCGCCACCTCCACCGCCACCACCACCCCGGCCGCCACCGCCGCTGCCAACGCCGCCGCCACCGCTGCTGCCACCCCCTCCGCCGCCACCGCCGCTGCCACCCCCTCCGCCGCCACCGCCTCCACCGCCGCTACAATTGCTACCACTCCCGCCACCACTCCCGCCACCACTCCCTCCGCCACCTCCTCCTCCTCCACCACCTCCACCACCACCCCCCCCCCCCCCCCCCGGTGCCACCTCCGCTACCCTTGGCTCCCTTGCCCTTGCAGTTGCGGCGCCTCCCACTAGGAGCAGAAGCAGCACCAGCAGACTCAGCACCAAGGAAGTCAACAGCAGCAGCAGTAGCGAAGGAGGGGGCGAGGGGAGAGGGAGAGCACCCCTCAAATATGGGGGTGCGAGGAGCGCCACGAGCAGCAGCTACAGCGACAATGCTCTTCTCTGCTGCAAGGAGGTGCTTCTCTAGGAGGTCGATAGTAAGTTCGGTGGGACAGCGAGCGAGAAAGTGAACCCGGACCAAGCTAAGAGAGTCAGGGAGACGGGTGGCTATGAAGTGGAGGGTCCAGTACATCGGAGGCGTGTGCTTAGCACATAACTCTTTAGGGAGGGCGGTGCGAAGGCGGGTGTCACTAGTGCGAAGGTGGATAATGAGATCGGCAACTGTGGCAAAGGCGGACAGCTCAGGAAACAGGTAGGGCAGCATGAGGCGGCTAAGCTCAGCTGTGGCAGGGGAGGAGTATCGAGCCACTACAGCGTCGTAAAGGGCCTAGCGGTCTTGTGCTCGCCAAAATGCGTGAGCTCAGCTAACGGAAGGTGATTGCGAACGGCTAGGCGCGCAGCAGCATCACGAGTCTGCCACTGGGAACGGGCGCTAAGCTCAGCTGTGGCAGCACGAGCGACTGAGGCACCAGACGTGTGGTCAAAGAGAGAGACGTTATTCTTGCTATCGCTCATTAAGAACAGCTGCACGTCATCGAGCCAGGTCTCAAACTGAATCGGGCGGCCCTCAGCATCGGACGACAGAACGCAGAGGGTGGCCATAGCTGCTGGCGCGGGACTGGCAGGGCAGAGCGATTGCAGGCAAGCAGCAGTAGCAGCAGCAGTAGAAACCTAATGTCAGGCCCCTATGCAGCGTGGCGCGGCTCAGCAATGCGGCGCGGCTTGGGCGGTGCGGCGCGGCTCAGGCAGTGCGGCGCGGCTCGGGCGGTGCGGCGCGGCTCGGGCGGTGCGGCGCGGCTCAGGCATGGCGGGGCAGTGCGGCGCTGGCAGCAGCAGCGGCTGCAGCGCTGGCAGGGCGGGCAGGGCGCAGGGCAGCGCGGGCAGGGCGGGTAGGGCAGGGCGCAGCAGGTAGCCGCGGCAGCAGGGCAGGCGGCACACGGGGCTGCAGGGGGCCGGCAGGGCAGCAGGGCGGGCGGCGCACAGGGCTGCGGGGCAGCGCGACGGGCGACGCGCGGGGCGTAGTAGGCAGCCGGCGAGGCAGCGCGTAGGGCACGCGGGCTGCTAGCGGGCGGCGCGCGAGCCGGCAGGAGCTGCACACGGGCTGCGCGGACAGCAGGCGGGTCGTGCGGGCTGCTAGCAAGCGGCGCGCGGGCCAGCAGGAGCTGCGCGCGGGCTACACAGGGGCGACGCGCGGGCTGCTAGCGGCGCGGCGCAGGGCAGGGCAGAGCGCGGGGTAGCGCGGTAACCGGAAGCGGTAGGTGGGCCCTAAAAAAACGGTCCTAAGGACCTAAGGCTCATAGTACCATGTTAGAAGAACTAGTAATGATGATTGACTATCGAGAGAGTTTTGGTACAAGTATTAACCTAAAAGGGTTGTACCCCACATTGGCTACCCCACTACAGCCTACACCCAATTATAAAGCATATACCGTATGGCCCCGGATATAGGCGCCGTCCGATTAAAGGCGCCGGCGCCTCTATCTGGAGCATGGCGCTTATGGCCGTTCCTCGATTATAAGCGGCCCCCCTAGAAAACCTTAACTTATTATAAGCGCACGTGCAAGTTTAATTTAAATTCTTTCTTAAAACGGTAACGAAATTCAATTTTGCAGCGAGTCAGATTTCTATTTCGCTTCGTTTGACTCGCGAAGACCTGACTGGCTGCGTGTCTAGTCAGGATCTGCTGGCATGACGTGGCTTTGCCTGCGTGTGCACCCAGAGTATCGCTTGCGCGAGATTTTGTTTTGTGACGCTAAAGCATTTCGACTCGGTTGAAATGGCAAGAAGAAAATGAACAATTTGGTGCTCTAAATATATAATTTCGTATTTGTCATTATATAAGCGCCGGCGCTTATGGCCGTTACTCAATTACAAGCGCCCCCCCTCAAAAAAATGAATTTATTATAAGCGCATATGCGCCTATATCCGGGGTAATACGGTATATAGTTTGACATCCGGGCCTGATGCCGAGGTTGGGAAATGTCAAAGCGTAGGGCCCGGTCGCGAATTGCCAGCCGAGTCGGGTGGTTTGGGCGCGATGTGGAAATAAGCTACTGTTGCGTATACAGTGGCGGGAACATTCGTGTACGCGGTATTTAGTGTGACTGGAAGTAGGGAAAGGTTGTTTCCTTACACTAATCTTGAAATTTCAGGTAGCCTTGCAAATGTATACGCTCTTCATGAAGGGGATGGAAGAAGTCTCAAATTCCTGAATGGGATTACGCTACATCGCGTACAACCTCGACTTTTAGTAGATAGTCCCGGCCGGCCCCAAGCCAGGCTACCTCGCGTCGCTTTCGGCCTTCGAGGTCCTTCGGCTAGCTACATCTTCCGTGGGCTTTCATTTATATCGAGGCACAGCTTCGATTTTGCTTTTCCGCACACTCGTAACAACGCATAACAGCCTCCGTGAATCGTAGTCGCTCGAGTGTGCAGATCGCAACGCCCAAAGAACGCTGTTTGCTCCGCTCGACAGGTGCAGCTGGTTTTGGTGAGCTCGAATGGCAGGCCGCGAGAACTCGTCGGCGGACTGGATGGCGCGTCTCGAGCGCGCCTTGCGCTCCACGCAGCCTGGTGGGTCGCCGTTGAAACCACCACTCGCAGCAACTGTAACCTGCGTAACCCTAATCGAATCCATTGCAGCTGGAGCCTTTCAACCCTTAGGGTAAGCCCGCATGCGTTACACCTCCACTCCGCCCCGCCCACTCCGTCTTAGTTTAGGTATAGCCTCCGGTTAGCGTTGAAGGTAGTAGATGCTAGGAGAGAATTCTGGTTTTTTAAGACTGATTTCACTCAAAACAGAGAAGTACAAAGAACTGATTGAAAACAAACACGTTTAAAGCTCAAGGCCCAAATTGTTTAACCTTAGTAAGGTTGCCCTTGGGGTATCGAGAGAGAAACGTTGACTTTTTTTAAGTTGGGCTCGTCAGTTTCGCCCAGCTTCGCGCTAGGTTTTCGCTGACTCAGCAAACCCCAGGGCAACTCGGTTTGGTTGTCGAAGTCCCAAATTGCACTCACAATATTCTTGGTGTTTCATTCTCCCATTGGACAAAAAAACTGCTGGCCAATCACACAGCATCGCACTTCTCGTAACCACAATTCGCAACCAAACAACCCCCAGAACACCACTCTGATTAACTTTAGTAAGCTTGCCCCGCGCGCTCTGCAATTTGGGCCTTGAGCTTTAAGTATTTCGAAATGTGATGTGCGCCTCGCGTAACTCGTCATCCGCGTTTCAGCCCGAGTCGCACGCGGAACCGATTTCGGTAACCGACACTGGAACCGAAACCTGGTTGTCTCATCCGCACCGAACACGGTTCGGTTGCGGTTGGACATTTTAGGTTACGGAAATGTCTTCTCGACATTTCCTGAAACCCACTCTCCCACCATTCCGTTTTTCCCTGCTTTCTTCTCGCCTTCCCTCCTTAGCTCCTTAGCATGCAGCCCCACCGTTATAGCTGTCGGTTCTCCTCATTAGGTCGACATTTCCCACCGTTCCTAGTGTCGTGCTACCGTCCCTAGGTGAAGCGCGTAGGTCGGTAGGCACTAGGGCAGTGGCGAACCACCCTAACACTCCGCGCGTCTCGCTCCTTCCCGCGCAGTGTCATCAGTCATACCCCGCCGTGTCCTTCCCACATCGCCTTCATTCACATCCATCGCCCGTGTCCCCGTCATACCAAGCTGTGCCCCGCCGTGCCTGGCCACGCGCCATCGCGTCTGTGCGAAGCAGGGACGGACGACAAGCTCCAACCCATTGATTGATTGCTCCACATCGTTCCTCTCCGCTGCTTGAATGCGCGTCTTTCCTCGCCGCCCTTCGCCTGACCCCACCTCCTACCTTCCTGTCCCGCTCCTCACTCCTCTCGCCCCCACCTCGTCTCAATCTCCCCTCCAACCGTTTTCCCTCCCCCACCTCCCCTCTCGTCCCCGACTCATACCACCCTGCGTCACGCTGCTGTCTCCGCAGTTTTGCTGTCGCTGCCCTACCGTGCCTACCGTGCCTGGCGTGTTTGTTGCCGAGCAACTGCATCAGGCCGTGCACCTGCCACTCTCCTGACTCTCCTAATCTCTCCCCTCTCCCCCTCTCTCCCCTGTCTCCCCCCTCTTCCACTCTCTCCCGACTCTCCCACTCGCTCCCCTCTCTCCCCGCTCTCCCCTCTCTCCGTTCTGTCCGATCTCCCCTCTCTCCCGTTTTTCCCTCCTCTCCCCTCTCCTCCTTTTCTCCCCCGCCTCCCCTCTCTCCCCTCCTCCTTTCCGCGTCTAACCCCTTTTCCCGCCCTCTCAGCCACCCAGTTCGACGGCATTCTCGCAGCCGGGCCTGCCCTGGTGGAATGGACGCTGGGGCAGCAACCAGGGAGGAGCGCAGGGGCGGGGAGGAAGAGGAAGAGGGGGGGTGATAGGGAGGGGGAGCGGGAGAAGGAAGAGCACGGGCAGCGTCAACAAGCCCATGTGTCCGAGAGTGACGTGGCACGATTCAATTCGCTGGTTCTGCGCCTTGCTGATGTTTTCAGCAGCAGCAGCAGCAGCAGCAGCAGCAGCGCCACCCGCCTCTGCATTCTCAAGCTCTTCCTCCTCCACCTCTCCACCGCCACTTCCCCTCTCCCTCCTTCGCCTCCCTCTCCTCCTTATCCCCCTCCTCCTTCTCCTCCCTCTCCTCCCTTTCCTGCATCTCATCATGCCACGTCAGCTACACCCGCTGCCCCCTCACTCACACCTGCCGCCCTGAAAACGCCCCCCGGTGCTGGGAGGTGTGACGTGGATGGTGACGCCAGGCCTGACCTCAGCAGCATGCATGACGTCAGCCTGCTGCAGTGGCGATGGAGGAGGGAGGGAGAGCGCGTCACGGACATGTGGAGGGGAGGGGGAGTGGTCACGAGGGAAGCAGAGAGAGAAAGTGGTGGCGCTGGCAATGATGGATGCAACAGTGCTAGCAGCATTGGTGACAGTGGTGATTGCAGTGAGAGTGACGGTGATGGTGATGGTGATGGTGATGGTGATAGCGATTGTGATGATACTGCTGGCAGTGATGGTGGTGCTGGCAGTGCCAGGGACTGGGCGGGTGTGTTGACTGCTGGGAAGCTCTTGAACCCAACCCAAGTCATCACCAGGATCGCCCCTCTGCTCTCTCGCTCCTCCTCCTTTCCACTCCCACCCACCGCAGCAGCAGCAGCAGCCACATCAGCCACTTCCCCTGCAGGCACACCCATGCCAGCAGGCACAGCAGCAGCAACAGCAGCTGGCGCTCTTGACTCGGTTGACTCCCTTGAAGCCCGCTGTCTCGCGCTGCGTCTGATTGGCTGCCTGGCTCCGCTGGCTGCTGACGTGGCACACGTGCAGGAGTTGGTGGTGCGGGCGGCAATGGAAGCAGAGGGACAGCAGGAGGTGAGTGAATTGAGGGAGAGGAGAGGTGGGAGTGGGGGAAAAGGGGGGATAAGGGGGAGTAGGATGTGAGGTGGGTGGTTTGTTCAGGTGTGTGCGTGTGTTGTGTATGTGGTGGAGAAAGAGGGGGAAAGGAGGGGGGTGGTTGAGTGGGTGGAGGGGGGAAAAGGAAGGGGGTGGTTGGGTGGTTGTGTGGGTGGGTGGGGTGTGCGTGCGTGCGTGCGTGCGTCTCTAGTGTCATTGTTCTGCATGCCTTGCTTGCTTTTCGCATTATGGTGTTCTCACGGTCCACCCCCCTCACTCGCTGTACCTCGCCCATCTTACACCTCCTCCTGCTCCACTTCGTGCCACCTAATTAGCCGCCTGTCCCCCCCCCTTTGTTTTGCGATTTCCTCCCTTACCTCAACCCGGTCCTTCCATCTACACGCTCCCCTCCTTAACTCCTAGCTCCATCACTCTCTCTCTCTTCACTGCTTGTGTCGCGTCCCATGCCGTGTCTTCCATCGCACGCCAAACTCCATGTAGCCGCACTTCACTCTAAGTCTTCCCACCCCAAGCCCCACACACCTCTCTTTGCTGCCACATTCTTTCGTGTTGTGTACGCTCCCTTTTTCCTCAATCCCCTTTCTTCAACAACCTCCCCCACCCTTCCCTCCCACCAACCCCTCCTCCATCCCAAACCCCCCCCACCACCCCAGCAGCGCCATGCAGCTCTCTTCGCGCTCACCTTCCTCTGTGACGTCTCTCCACCCTTCGCCCTCCACACTCTCCCCCTCCTCCTCTCCCTCGCTCTCCCCGCCTCCCCACCGCCACCGCTGCCACTCTCCCTCAAACGCCATTTGCACCGCTCTTCACACCCGCGTCTCTCGCACCAAACCAAGCAGCCTGGGGTGAGAAGAAACGCACAAATATGTGAAGCAGAGGCAGACGAGCGTGTGGGGGGGGAGTGGCAGCAGCAGCAGTCGGATGGTTCTCCTGCTGCCCGTGCAACGGTGCACCCACACTCCTTCACCCACTCCCTGCCTCCACACACACTGCCACTACTGGCCCTAGACACGCCTCTTCTCACATCGTCCTCCCTCTTGCCACGTGTCAGCCACCCATTGGCCCGGTGGAAGGAGGGTGCGGAGGCGGACGAGGGGGTGCGGGTGCGAGTGGCAGCAGTGGTGGTGAAGTGCATGGCGGGGCATGAGGAGAGGGCTGTGAGGCGCGTGGCGTGGCAGGTGAGGAGAAGAATCGGGGGGGGGGGGGGGGGGGAGGAAGGGGGTTGAGGGAGGAATGTGGAGCAGCTGGGTTAGTAGGTGAGTTTGAAGTCGACTCAGAGGGGGAGGAGAGAGAGCAGCTGGGTGAGAAGGGCAGCAGTGGTGGTGAAGTGCTTGGTGGGGCACGAGGAGAGGGCAGGTGAGGATGGGAGGGGGAGGAACGGGAGGATGGGAGGGTCAAAAGAGGAAGCACTTGGGTGAGAAGGTGAACTGGTGACAGGGAATGAGTGGTGAGACAGGTGAGACAGGTGAGGCAGGTGAGGCAGGTGAGGCAGGTGAGGCGACAAGGGGGAAGCACACCAGAAGCAGTGGTGAAAGGAACTGCTTTGGTGACTGGTTGAGTGTTTGATGGGACTAGGCTGTCCTTAACAGGAAGTATGCAAAATGTATGATGGGACTTCTCATAACGTGAATGGTACTAGACCATTCATTCATAACCCCAAGAGTGCAAATGTGTGGTGGAGGATGGTTAGGAGCCTTGGCCAGCCATGTGTGGTGAGTTGGTTTTGTGAATAACTTCTTTAAATGGCATGCGTGGTGATGAATGCGTAATGAGCTCTTATTCTTCTCTCCTCCCTCCCTTTCACCTCCCCTGCTCCTTGCTCCTCCCAGGTGGCAGTCTGCCTGCTCTCTGCCTTCCCCTCTGCCCCGTGGTCCCTGCTGCTGCGATCGTGGGTGTGCGCGCTGCAAGCACAGCTTGGCTGATCACTCACTCGTTGCCAGTGCCCTAGATATCAGACTTTTTACGCTGATTCAGCGTCCATTCAGACTTTTTTTTGGTACCTGGTCTGAACTGTAAGTTTTTTCTTATGTACCTTCTCTGATTCTTCAGAGTTTTTTTTATTGTAGTGACTGAAATTTCAGACAAATTTTAGGGGTGTAGGCTGAGCCTCAGCCTTGTTTCGGAAGTGCACTCTGAAACGGGTACTGCAGTGGTCCGCCAGCCTGGCGGCGTGTTGTACTAACACCGTCAATCTCGGGCGGGAAACGAAACATTTCCCGGGCGCAGCACCGCACCGCACTGTCGCGTTGGGCCTGGAATGCTGTAATCTGGCTCTATTCCAGCCAATCGCGGCATCGCAGCAGGCAGTGTTGGCAAGATTCCTTGCCAACACATACCTCGGAGCGCGCTGCACCCAGACAACACCACCACCTGTTGCAAGACACAGGGAGGAGCCCCAGAGAGCTGGGTGTTAGAATCACTAGCTAGGTGAGGATGTCGATTAGGTAAGGGAGGGGGATACAAGACTATCGAGAGTGAAATGTTGTACCCTCTAAGGAAAGAACCCTACACAACCTAGAGTGAAATGAACACAACAATATATGTTTTGACACACCCCCATAGGTGAAGGAGGGGATAGCCAAACCTAACAGTGGTCACAAGACCAGACAAGCAAGAGAACAACCAAGACAAAGCTCAGGGTGGATCTCAAGGACACCACGCAATCTGAGCACAAGCAGGCGGCCACAAGGCCAGTTCACATGCAGAGTTATAATAGCAAGGCAGTACACTGATCACAACCTAGCAAGAGTAAACATGCAGGTATAAAGATATATAGCAGTGTACAACAAGAGTAAGTCAAGCAACCAGCAGGTGAGGCAGAGTGGGCACAAGCCCGAGAGCAGTGCTGAAACGCTGATGATCACCAGACCCAAGGGCCTTGGTGAAGACATCAGCAGTGTTGGCCCGAGAGGCCACGTAAGCAAAGCGCAGCTGACCACGCTGCTGCAGCTCACGCGCAAGGAAGTAGCGAAGAGCAATGTGCTTCGTTCTGTGCTCCAGTCTCTGCTCGCGACACAAGGCAAGCATTGCCTTGTTGTCGACGTACAGAACTGGAGGAGAACGAGGCCGCTCCCCCAAGTCGGTCAGCAGGTACGTCAGCCAGCGTAGCTCCTGTGCAGCCATGGCCCCAGCGTAGATCTCGGCCTCACAACTGGAGCCAAGCACAGAAGAAGAACGAGTGGACCTCCACGAGACAGAACCAGAGCCAAGACTGAAGGTGTAACCCAGTGACGAACGCTGAGTCGCCTGGTCGTCGGCCCAAGAAGCGTCAGAGTGTCCTGTGAGTACCACTGAACCCTGTCCTCCAAGCACGAGCCCCATGCCCGATGTACTGCACAAGTAACACAGTACCCACTTAGCAGCATCCCAGTGCACCTTTCGGTGTCTACCGGGTGCCACGTAGCGAGCCAGAAGGCTGAGAGGGTACGCGAGGTCAGGTCGAGTGCACGTCATCAGGTACATGAGGCAACCCACAAGCTCTGGGTACGGACCACTCGGCTCTACGGACTCGTCCGAAGGTGGAGCTGAGAGCGAGTGGCCGGTAGACAGAGGAGTGGGCTGTGGCGAGGAGAACTGGAAGCCGAAGCGCTGAAGGACCTGGTGCACCATGTGTGACTGAGTCAGGGTGATGGTGCGCCGTGCTCTGTCCCGGGTGATCTGCAAGCCAAGATAGCTCCGCAGCTCACCCAGGTCAGTGCAGGTGTGTCTCTCCTGCAGCTCCGCCTTCACTAGGGCCAGTGCCTCAGTGTCAGCAGTAGCAAAAACCAAGTCGTCAACGTACTCGAGGATGTAGAACGGCGGCAGAGAAGTGTCGGTGCGTAGAAACAGCGATGGGTCAGCAGTCGAACGAGCAAACCCAAGAGCCGCAAGTGTCGTCCTCAGTGTGTCGTGCCACTCGCGGGGCGCCTGACGGAGGCCGTACACAGGTCGCCGTAGGCTCCACTGGGTACCCTCAGGAAACGACCCAGTGAAGCCCGGTGGACGGCGCAACCAGATGGCCTCGTGAAGGCTACCCTGTAAGAAAGCTGTCGAGAAGTCGAGAGAGTGCAGCTCGTAGTCACGCTGAGATGCAACGTGTAGCAACACCCGAAGAGTGGTCATCTTCGGGGTGGGGGAGAAGGTCTGAAAGAAGTCGACCCCCTCACGCTGACTGAAGCCTCGAGCAACGTAACGTGCCTTGAAGGCAGGCGGAGAACCCGGCGGCCGCTTCACCCTGAAAATCCACATGCCACTGACGATGTTCGCCCCAGGTTGGGGAACCTCGTCGACGTAGGTGCCTGTGGATTTCCAAGAAGCCATCTCTGCGTCCATGGCTGTCTGCCACTGAGAGGAGTACTCACCCGAAATCGCCTCCTTGTAGGAGCGCGGGGTGGGGATGTCAAGTGCATCCGGGTCTCCCTCAGGGGCAAGCAGCATGGTCGCGTGATGGGGTGAAGCGGCAGCAAGGCACTCCAGCTCCTCCTGTCTGTCCTCAAGAACGTCACAGCCAAGGGCAGTACAGCCAAGAGCAGTCTCACCCCCGACGGACGGAGGACAGGCAGGGACAGGGTCAGAGACAAGACTCGCAAGGTAGTCTAGGCGGTACACAGCAGCAAAGTCAACGAGCTCAGCTACTAGGGCAGACGCAGCAGGAGACGAGAACGTAGGGTCCGTCACAGCCGTAGCAAGAAGGCGAGTAACAGTCGGACTGGACGCACGAGCAAGGTCAGACGGAGGGTCAGCAACGTCAGGCAGAGAGGACGCAGGAGGTAACGGTAGGACAACACGCTGAGGAACATAGGAAGGACGGAGTGTCATATCGTGAGTGCCGGGGACAACTGGAGCACGCTGACGACGAACACGAGGAACACGAGCACGGACAACAGCTCTAGGCTCAGGCTCAAGGTCAAAGCTAGACTCAGGCTCTCGACGCTCAGGGGTGGACGCACGAGTCTAAGGCTCTCGACGCTCAGTCAGGGACTCTGACACTGCAGTGTAAGGAGCAGGAGCAGGCAGTGGGGAGTGTGGTAGCAGCGGTGGCTGTGACTGGTCCGCCGGTGGACACAGCAACGGAGGAGTAGTACCTGCCACAGGGAAGCCAGTAGCACCTGGCTGAAGACTGAGAAGGTGGCGAAGAGCACCAGTATCTCCACCAGGACCTCCAGCACCTCCAGCACCTCCAGCCCCAGCAGCTCCAGCACCTCCAGCACCAGCAGCACCTCCAGTACCAGCAACACCAGCAGCTCCACGACCTCCAGCACCAGCAGCACCTCTAGTACCTCCAGCACCAGCAGCTCCACGACCTCCAGCACCAGCAGCACCTCCAGGACCAGCAGCACCAGCAGCTCCTCCAGTACCTCCAGCACCAGCAGCTCCACGACCTCCAGCACTAGCAGCACCTCTAGGACCTCCAGCACCAGTAGCTCCAGGTCCTCCGGTAGGAGCTCCGACGACACCAACACCAGAAGGACTCGCAGCAACCCCAGAGTCAGCACCCGAACTCGCAGCACCCCCAGAGTCAGCACCCGAACTCGCAGCACCCCCAGAGTCAGGACTCTCGGTCTCAGCACTCGCAGGCTCAGTACCCTCAGTCCCAGCACCCCCAGGCTCAGTACCCTCAGTCTCTACTCCAGTGTCCACAGCAATAGGCTGCAGAGGTGGCAAAGACGGCAGAGGTGGGAACCCGGGGGGGTTAGCCAGACGAGGAGAGCGGGCACCCCCAGACTCACCACCCCCAGCCCCAGCTCCAGAAGTCTCAGCTCCAAAGTCCACAGCAGCAGGCTGCGGAGGCGGCGAAGATGGCCGTGGCGGGAAACCCGGGGGGGTCTCCAAGCGAGGAGTGCGGCGAGTGGTCGCCGTGTCGTCGGCGACGGCGTCACCCCCCTCAGGGGAGTCAGAGGAGTCAGAAGAGATCTCAACTGGCTCATCCAAGGGGGGTGGGTCTACCTGGGACACACCTGAGGGAGCAGGACCCTGTGGGGGAAGGGGGTCTACCGGGGGGGGACTGGTACCAGGAAGAGGGGTGCGAGGGGGACCGGGTGGGACGCGTGCGGGTGAAGTCGGTAGTAACAGACCGACTCGTCAAAGGTGACGTCCTGAGAGGACAGAACACGACGCGAGGCAGGGTGGTAGAACTGCCAAGGTGGAGCGTCGGTGGGGAAGCCGAGGAAGACACAGCGGAGAGTGCGAGGAGAGAGCTTGCCCGCTTTGGTATCGCTAACAAGGGAGAGCGCGCCCCAGACCCGAAACGACGACGCATCACCAGGCTGTCCCGTCCAACGGAGTGTGGGCGAGGTCTCTGGAGCAGAGACACGGGGCCAGAGGTTGAGCTGATGCGCGGCGTATCGGACCGCAAACGGCCATAGGAAATGGGGAGCAGTCGCATGGATCATGGAGGTACGAGCAACCTCCATGATCAGGCCAATGCGACGCTTAGCGATCCCATTTTGCTGCGGAGAGGCCGGAAGTGTGAACGACTGGGCGATGCCCTCATCCTGGCAGAACGTCTCAAGGACGCCAGAGCTGAACTCACCACCCCTGTCAGAGTGCAGATGCAGGACTGGGAAGTCCTGCTGAAAGCGCTCGTGCAGCTGAAGACGAGTAGCACGGATCCAGGGGATCAAAACACCACTGACGTCCGCCTTGCGACGCAAGGGGAAGACGGTGGTGTAGCGTGTGTAGTCGTCAACAACCAGCAGGAAGTAGCGCTCCTGGTCCGTTCCACCGACGGGGGCCGGGCCCCACACGTCCAGGTGGAGAGTCTGCAGAAGAGCAGTGGTCGGAGGAAACTCGGAGGAGTGAGGAGCGGCGCGCTGCCGCCCCTCGACGCAAGGAAGGCACGGCAGCGCAAGCGAGCGCGGGAGGGGGGGCAGGGTCTCAGGGAGGCCAGAGACCAGGAGCCGGGAGTGCATGCCGCGCAAAAGCTGCAGGGAGGGGTGACCAA